CAGCGGGGTGAGTGGGGCCGAGGCGAGGGCCCGCGGTGGAGGGGGGACGCCCGGCTGTGGGGGTGGACGGGGGGAACCGACGTGCCCCAGCCCGCTGGGGTCCGCGCCCGCCCCTCGCCGCCCAGGTCGTGGGCTTTCCGCCAGGCCCCGCGCAGGCCTCCCCAGCGCCTGTCCCGCCGTCCGCGCGCCGGACAGCTCGCTGGCACCTGTTTCCTGCCGTCACGCGGGTCGCTCCGGTCGGGCCAGGCACCGAGTCTCCGAAATCCGACCCTCTCCAGGGGCACCGTGACCGGCTGGGCGGAAGAAGCCCTACCCCGCCGCCTTGCGGGGCGCCACTCGTCCTGCGCCCTTGAGCCGCTCTCGGACACCAGGGCCCCCTTTTCTGTCCAACAGAACTCGCTGCGAAAACTTCTTTCTGCAGGTGCCCTGCCTCCCGCTGCCTGAGGAAGGAGGAGAAATGAAAGCCCAAGAACCCTGACTCCACTAGGCGTGGGATCATCCTGGAACTAGGAAAAAGAAAACAGAAACCAGGTTAGGGCTGCCCCCTGATCAGGTTCTCTCCTACCGGCCCCGGGGGCTCTGCAGAAAGAGGATTCCCCTGTAGGACTTTTTTCTTTTATTAGAGGAGATAGAGAAATGGGTCCAGACAGTAAGCTGGAGATGAAACCTGCCGGAGGCTTTTCCCAAGCAGGAAGGGAACAGGGAAGACTCAGGTGAAGAGCAATTGGTACCCGGTGTGTTAAAACTGAAAAGAATACAGGTGCAGAAATTCGGAGAGGAGAGCTAAGATGGAGGTTTCCCTTTATTACTGCTTTATTGAGACTTTTTCTCTCTCATGAGAAGGCTCAGAAAAAGAAACCCAAACCGGGAGGCATCCAAGGTGCTCCCAGAAGGCCCTGAGCCATCTTTGGACTTAAGAAATAAAAGAGGAACTTGTTCTTCCTGTACACTGGCCTTAGAAGTCTTTTGTCAAAGATAAGTAGGAAACAAGTGGCCTGACAATCTCTCATAACCCATCTTGGCCTTCTGGGTTCTTGCAAATGTTACTAAATGACTGTGAGTGAGCCAGGGTCCTTACTAAGATTCTGACTTGTTCTTAGAAGATTTTCACTGGCTCTGGCTGCTTGGGTATTAAATAAGAATCACAAAAAATATGTTACTAAATAGAAGTGGGACCTGTCTCAGATGGAACCAGTCCTGCGGTAAAAATGTCCAAAGAAAAGAACCCACACTTGGTTTAGTACTCTGTAAGATTATTAAGGTTTTGTTCCTTGAGACAGGAGCTCCTTGTAGCCTCAGCTGGCCTGGAACTCCCTTTGTAGATCAGACTGGTTGATCTTACAGATTATTAAGGTTTTTGGTTTGGTGTTTTTTTTGTTTTGTTGGTCTTTTTGAGACAGGGTATCTCTGTAGCCCCAGCTGTCCTGGAGTCACTATGTAGACCAGGCTGGCCTTGAACTCAGAGATCTGCCTGCCTCTGCCTCCCGAGTGCTGGGATTAAAGGCGTGCACCACCACACTGTATTTTTTAAAAAATCTAACCTAAATTTCTTTTTTTGTGATCAGAATCCATTCTGTTTGCTCTATAAAGAAATAAATACCTACAGGTAGTGCTACTAATGCGCCTTTTTTTTGCTAGACAAGCAAAAACTATGTCCATTGTTTTTAACTTTTCAATGGCTGTATTTCTCCGCTGGAGAGATGGTGCAGCCGTTAAAGGCCAAAGCTAACAACCAAAATGACAGTGACTATTTCCTGTCCCTTCCTTGACTTTCATTTCTTCCAGTGAACAGACACTGGCTTCTCTATACCCTTGAAATTGTGTATATTTTTATAATGCACTGTGAGTGCTGCCTGCTAATCAAGTTTGTTTTTGCATTTCAAATCACGGGGCTGTTGATTCACTGCATCCCTGTTTTCCATTTCCAGTCCAAACTGTACTTTCTCTAGTTGCCTCAGCTCCTTACCAGCCATTTCTTTTCTCTGATAAGGTTGCTTTGGATGCTTCCACCTCACCTTCACAGTTTTCCAAGTTATTGGTCTTTATTCCATATTTATTCCAGCTCTTGTTTCCTCCTTGAAAGCAACAGGTCATGCGTATCTGTTGAGGCTTTTTCCTAAGTGAGGCAGCATTTGGTTCTGCCTATAGTGAGAGGGTTCTCATGATAGATACGCACCCCTTGGCTGGGACTTATAAACTGATTTGATCCTTAGGTGTGATTATGTGCATGTTTGCTGAGTGTCCACTGTTTGCAGTTGCTTACTTCACTGCACTTTTAGTGGTTGAAATACAATGCTTTTGAATTTGCAAGATTTTTTTCCCTTTTTTAAAAATGAAGCTCTTCAAGTTCCCCAGGGATATTCTGTTTATACCATGAGGTCCCCAGAATAACAATGGATTGACTATATAACACCTGTCAATTTCTTAGCTCCTCCAAAAAGTTTGACTCAGACTCAGCCTGATATATGATATATTTCAAAGTCCATCTCCCACAAAGCTCTTCCCATCCAGTTCCATCTTTTATCTCTTGGACTGTTCTCTTACCATTCCCTTAGGAGTGAGGAGTGTCACCCCTGCCATTTTCATGGCACGGCTAATATTGATTTGTTCCAGGTCATAATTTATGCCTGCTGCAGAAATGCTTTCTGAACAGACAGCAGCCCTGGGAACAGGCTGGGAGTCAATGAATGTACAACTGGATGGAGCAGAGCCCCAGTTGCAAAGAGGAAACTGGGAAGAGGGGCCATGGAGAACAACAGCGGGGCCACTGGAGCGCCTGCACTGTGGCCTTGAAGAGGAGCCACAGCCCCTTCAGGAGAAGGGTGAGAGCACAGTGTGGAAAGACAAGTGGTCTAATCTGTTCAAAGAGTAGAGTTCAAATTTGCTAAACCGGCTGAGTGTAGTGACTCCTACTTAAAGTCTTTTATTGAGAAAGTGAGGCAGGATTGCCATGAGTTCCAGGCCAGCCTGGGCTACAGAGTGGGACCATCTCAAACAACAAGTAGACTGAAGAAGGTATCCAATACTGGACCCAGTCTGTTCTTGGGTTCTGCTGTCTAGGACATGATGGAGTCCTGGAGTTTCCAAACTCTGTAACTGGGCTTCTCCTGTTTCCCACATAATCTCTCAAGGGCGAGACTAGTGATCCTGACTGTCGGACACCAAGGAAGTGGTATTGACACTGATTACTATTGGAAGAACACAGTCAATAATACTTGACTAAATGAGAGTCAAGTAAAATCCATTCAAACCACAGCTACCCTAATGTTTAATAATAGCCTTCAGAACTCTTTGAGTGAAGGAATATTCATCTACACATATGCATTTGAGTTTTACAAATGGGCATAGGTAGAGGAGATATCTAAAACAGGGCCCAGTGCATATAGGGAAAGGGTGGATGTGGATATTCATGTCTAATGGCTCCTCTCTCCCCTCACCAGCTCAGTCTGCTCCCTGGATTCCAGCAAGTCCCCAGGAAGGGAGTACCGGGGACTGGGAGATGGCAGCTGCACTTCTTGCAGCCGGATCACAGGTGGGCTGTGCTCCCTTGGTCCCTCCCAAAGTCTCATTGCAGTTCCCTTCCTCTAGCTTTGATGTCATCCCATTGATGCGTCAGGTCACATGAACACTAGTGGTATGCGTGTCTTATAACCAAACAGATTCTGCCTGTCTCCAAGGGTGCATAAATGGTTTCTTAATGGATGGCTGTGTTGTGTATAGAACTGGGGAAGACGGGAGCTAAGGACAAATAATTGTCTTCCTTTAAGAAGAAAACCCAAGCTGAGGCATGGTGGTGTCTGCCTGTAGGTCTAGTTACTGGGGAGGCTGAGGTAGGATTGCTTGAGCCCAGGAATTTTAGGCCAGCCTCTGCAGCATAGTGAGACCCTACCTCAAAAATAAGAAAAAGAAAAATTCCTGGAAAAACCAGGAAAAGAGGACCCAAAGAAAGCTTGGAAGAATGCAAAGCAGAGAGGATTACAGAGCTTTTAGGAAAAAGAAAAGAAATCTGTAAAGATCTAGAAAGAGAAAACAGGTATAGATTCAAAGGCTCTAGAATAGCCATGGGAATACAGCATTATTGTGAGTAGCTACATACTCAGAATGCCTAGCATGCTTACTCTTCTAAGTACTTTATGTATATTAACTAATTGTGAGGTCAGTTCAATCATTGCATTTTATTGTGAGGAAATTTGGGTTAGAGAGAGATTAAAGCACTTATGTAATGTCATACTGCTGTGTAAAACTAACAGACATTTAGTGGTAAAACTGACAGTCATTTGGCTCCAAATTATGGGCTTAACCATTGTACTTTGCCACCTGAAAAGGACATCAGCATACCAGGGAGGCAAGCTTGTTTTGTTTATATCGTGTTGTGTTGACAGAAAAGGAAAGGTCAAGTGGAGGAAGGAGGCTGTGGTACAGTCTGCGAGAAAGAATAAGGCAGGTAAGAAGGGATTGAGTAGACGCCTGTAGTTGAACAGAGGGCGTACCTCTGACTTCTAAGCACACTTGGGAAACTCCTGTGGTGACATCACCCTCACTCCTTTTCTCTTTACTAAACTGTGTGCCTGCCTAGTGACCTGCTGGC